TCTGCGAACACCCTTTTCACTTCCTGGCGATGTTTCATCACTCCTCTTTATCCACTCCTGAACAATAAGCATGCCCCATCCCTAGCTCGATTCACTATATTTCTAGTTCGCGCGCGCGGGGCGGCCCCTGGGCGTCCCCGGACGAAAAGTGCCCCGGCAAGGTCCGACTCAGAGATGGTTTTCCTCCTGGGCGCGGCCACTCAGGCCCCCAGAGCGCGCCAAGAGGGTCCCAAGAGGCCCCCAAGACTGCCCAAGAGGCCCCCGAGACGCCCAAAGGGCGCTCTAAGACGCCGAAGATGACCCAAGACGGCCCAGGAGGCCTCCAAGTGGCCTCCAAGAGGCCTCACAAGAGGGCCCCGAGAGGCCAAAGTCATGAATTTACAATGGTTTTGGAAGGATTTTGGCCTTGTCGCCTTTTTGGCTTTCCGATGCTCCAAGACGGCCCAAGAGGCCCCCAAGAGCGCCCCAAGACGGACCAAGAGGCTTCCAAGAGGGCCCCAAGAGGGCCCAAGAGGGCCCCGAGACGGCCCAAGAGGCGCCCAAGAGGGCCCCGAGACGGCCCAAGAGGCGCCCAAGACAGCCCAAGAGAGCCCCAAGACGGCCCCAAGAGGGGCCCAAGACGGGGACCACGAACCGGAAACCCAAGAGGGCCCCAGGAGGCCCCGAGAGGCCCCCAAGAGGCCCCAAGATGCCGCCAAGAGGCCCCCGAGAGGCCCCAGAAGGCCCCCATGAGGCCCAAAAGAGGCCCCAGAAGGCTTCAAAACTGCCTCCCAGGCGCCCCCGAACGGCTGCTCAAAAGACCCCAAGAGGCCTCCCAAAGCAAAGAAGCATCTTGACAACGACCCTGTTTGGCCCCAAGAGCAACACACGATGCCAACGAGAGGCTTCCTCCTCCGCCCCCTCCTCTTCCTCCTCCTCCCCCTACTTATCTTCATCCTCCTCCTCTCCTTCTCATCCTCTCCTCCTCCTCCCCTCACGTTCCCCATCTTCATCTTCCTCCTCCTCGGCGGCGCCACAATGGCCCCGAGCCCACGGCGAAGCAGTAGCGATCATGCAATATGAGCCGGCGGAGTAAGCGAAATGATTGAATAACGATGCCCCCATCCCTAGCTCGACCAGCGACCGACCAGGAGACCCCATCGTTCTTGTCAGAAGTAATTCGGAGTTCAGTATGCAGCGAAATCTGACCCATGTCCGGCCGCCCCGTGATCGCTTATCATTGCTTTTCCCAACCATCCTGTGGTGTTGGGTCCTCGTTTTGAAGAGACAGCGCGCGGCGTTCCTCTCCTCCTTCTCCTCCTCCTCCTCCCCCTCCTCCCACCTTGGCCTCTGCCCCCTTCATGTCCGTATCGTCATGATCACTCCTCCAAATCTGCCTTTGTCCCCTGCATGTCCTCTTCGTCGTCGTCGTCGTCGTCATCGTCATCATCATCATCATCATCATCATCATCATCATCATCATCATCATCATCATCATCATCATCATCATCATCATCAACCACCACCATCATCATCATCATCATCATCATCATCATCATCATCATCATCATCATCATCATCATCACCATCACCACCACCACCCACCACCACCACCACCACCACCACCACCACCACATCATCATCATCATCATCATCATCATCATCATCATCATCATCATCACCACCACCACCATCATCATCATCATCAGCATCATCATCATCATCAGCAGCAGCATCATCATCATCGTCATCGTCATCATCATCATCATGATCATCATTAACATCATCATCATCATCATTACCACCATCACCACCATCACCATTACCATCACCATCACCGTCACCATCATCATCATCAACAACATCATCATCATCAGTATTCCCATCCCCATCCCCACCTCCATCCCCATCCCTATCCCCATCATCTTCGTCATCATCAGCATCATCATCAGCAGCAGCCTTACCATCATCACCCTCCTCCTCAGCGTCTTCCTGATCCCCTCCTCCTGCATCATCACCACCATCACCACCACCACCATCATCATCGTCATCATCGTCATCGTCATCATCATAATCAGCAGCATCAGCATCAGCATCAGCATCAGCATCAGCATCATCATCAGCATCAGCATCAGCATCATCATCATCATCAGCATCAACATCAGCATCATCATCATCATTTTAATCATCATCAACATGATGATCATCAACATCACCATCATCATCAACATCATCAACATCACCATGGCCGTCACCATCGTCTTTGTTAGCATCATCATCGTCAAACTCAACATCATCGCCGTCATCATCGCCACCATCGTCATCGGCTTCAGCTCCGGCACCCCTCACACGTTTCGGCCCCACAGAGGGCCCTACCCAAGGCCCCAGTGGATTCGTTCGCGTGTCTCCACCAGACCTCCCCCAAGCCTGGGGCCGCGGCCGTCGGAGAGGGCGCTGTGGACGACGACGGTCTCCGGGAGGACCCGGGGAGATCTCCAGCAGGCTGGGGGGCAGGTTTCCCCCCCCCTTAGCCTTGGGGAGGCCGCCTCCTGATCCTCCTCGTCCTCCTTCTCATCCTCGTCTCCATCCTCATCTTCATCCTCATCCTCCTCCCTCCTCTTCCCTCATCCCTCCTCCTCCCTCCTCCCTGCTCCCTTCTCCTCCTCCTCCTCCCTCCTCCTCCCTCCTCCTCCCTCCTCCCTCCCTCCTCCTCCATACTCCCCCATCCTCCTCCCTCCTCGATCCTTCCTCCTCCCTCCTCCTCCCCCTCCGCCTCCGCCTCCTCCTCCCTACGCTTCCTTCTCCCTCCTCCCTCCTCCCTCCTCCTCCTCCTCTTCCTCCTCCTCCTCTTCCTCCTCCTCCTCCTCTTTCTTCTCCTCCTCCTCCTCCCTCCTCTTCTCCACCTCCTCCATCTCCTCCTTCTCCTCTTCCTCCTCCTCCTCCTCCTCCATCTCCTCCTCCTCCGCCTGCTCCTCTAGATCTCGCTCCCTCAGCCTTCTCCTCCTCAATGATCCCACTTGGAGGGTGGGAGTTGGGCCGTGGTTAACCTAGGCCACGATCGTGTGGAGAGCTGCCACTGCGCGAGACGGAAGAATCACCCTGCCCGAACTTAGGGATTTAGTTGCCCCCATTTTGGCTGCTCCTCCCAAGAGGTGGTTGGACTCCAGGGGCCCCTTCGGACCATGCCTTCTCTCGCTCAGCAGACTTGGTTGGAAGGCCGTCAGTGCGTTCGAGTTTTCGGACAGGGATGGCTCACTCTTCCCCCTCACCTCGGTCTCGCCCGCCTTCCTCTCCACCGTGCTGCAGAAATCATGGCGGGACAAGCTGGTGGAGCAAGCGAGCGAGCGACTGAGGTTGGTGGGGGATCAGGTCTGCGTTTCTGCTGGCCTCAGCGTCCTCAACTCCCCTTCTCGTACCCCCCGGGAGCGTTCCATCCTCCTCGCCTTCCTGTCCCGGAGTATATGGACCAAATTTGGTTTTCGAGAGGCGGGTTATGAGTTGGACTGCAAATGCCGACTGTTCGAATGCGTCCTTTCGGCGGCCGGCCGAGCGAGCTGAGCATTTCAGCTTTGAAGATATCGATGCTCTCAAGAATGCGGACTGGACTCATATTCAGGCGGGTCTGGACGTCAAGGTGAAGCTTGACGTCAATGCCCCAGCAGGGCGTGGTCTCGAGAATGCGACCTTGTGGGCGTTGGACCCGAACACCACTGTAGCCCAAGCCTTGCAGGGCAACTTGTACCTGTACGGATCGTGCTTTATAGTAGGTCCTAAGTGTTATCACCGAGCGGGATGGGCTGTTGTAGTCATTGACCCTGCCACGCCGCGGTCACATTCGGAAGTAACATCTCGGCCTTGATTCCCGACTGCACTGGCACATGTAGGCTGCACGCTCCAGGTCTTTCCCCTAAAGGTATTGATTCTGGCCTCTGGAGTCGGGACATCGACCTGATTAAACTCAAGTCGTATCAGAAGCTCTCCGCGTTAGAGCCCCACACAGAGGAATGGCGGCATGCTTCGGGCAACGCTGAAGCCGATTGGTGGGCGAAGTGGGCGGCCAACGAGCCGTTGCAACCCTCCCCTGCCGACAGTCAACGGACAGAATCGCGTTTCAAGTTGTTGCAGCGATTTCTACACTATGCTTGTGAGGCCTTGCCAAAGTGGTCTCCTGTTGCTTCCAAGCCTGGGGGCAAAGCATTGGCCAAGCCTAACAAATCGAATAATCCCCCTGTTGGGGCTGCGTCCGCCCCTGGCTCCAATCTTGTGCCCCCTACTCCCCGCCCACCTGTGGTGTCCGGGGTTCGTTTGGTGCACGATTGGACTTGGAGCCCGGGGGGATGGGTTTGCAAGCTGTGCAAGACGAGACCGCTTTCTGAGGCGAGGAAAAAAGCCGGGCTCAACGAGAAGTGCATTGGCAATTCCCCTCTTCAAACCCTCGCTGCTGACAGTCACGGCCACACGCTGGTGGTGGCCGATTTTGAGAGAGGCGAGAGCTTCATCATTGCTTGTCAGACTTGTGGAGCTTATGCGGTCTCGAGTCCACGTAATTTGTGCAGCTTCTGTCCCAGGCGCTTTTCGGACGCCCAGAAGCGATCCAAGTATGCATTGAATGATATTTGACAAGGAAGGCACCCCAAGAAGCCCAGGGTGCAGCTTCGCCCCTTCATCCCCCTGGCCCAGATCCTGGCAGATACAGCCCAGGAGCAGCAGGAGCAGGAGAGGGAGGATGGTAGGTAGGGCTGGAGCGGAGAGCGTGCGCGGGAGGGAGAATGACCCCCCTGCGCGCGGCCCGATCTCGCCAACCAGATTTTACAGGCGCGCCCCGCGCCTCCGCGCCGCCGCGCGATTGCAGCCAAGACGGCAGAACCCCCTTTCAAGATGCGTGCTGGTCCTCCTGCTCCGCCTCCTGCGCCTCCTCCTCCTCCTCCGCCTCCTCCTCCTCCTCCTCCTCCTACCCCCTCCCGCCCTCACTTCCCCACTCTCACCCCAGGGGCGCGCCGCTCGGCTCGACGGGGGAGGGCCTGCGCCGAATGCCCCCTTGCCCGCGTCGAAACCTCGGTCCAGGGGGCGGTGAAGGGCGCCCACCCCCCCACCCCCGCGTGTGGGTCACTTTACAACCAGAAGCGCACTTTACAACCATATGGATCACTTTACAACCAGCTTATAAAATCCAAGAAGGGCACTTTACAACCAGGAAGGGCACTTTACAACCAGGCAAGTAAAAACACATATTGAATGCACGCGTGCCTTTCCCTGAAATCTCCGTGGGCAAGCGCAAGGGTGGCTTTGGGCTCTTTGAGGCATGTTGGTTGTAAAGTTGCCCATCGCGCACGAAGAAGCACTGCGCACGAGTTGGCGATGCGGCGACCTGGTGCGCTATGGCATGTTGCGTGCTGGTGGGCGGATTCGAGTTTTGACATGCTCTCTAAGCTCTGTCGGTCAGTTCTGCCATTGTTTGCTCTGCCTTTTTTTCTGACGGGCGAAGGCTAGTCGCGCAGGACATACGAATAAACCATGATCCCGTCCAAGACTGGAGCTGCATGGCAGTGGCAAGATGTAGTGGGAGATGTGGTGGAAACGGGGGCTACAATGGGAACTGCATGGTGTTGGGAAGCTGCGGTGGCAACTGTGGTGGTCCCCAGGCAACGGTGGGGACTGTGGTGGTAGCTGGGCTGCAATGGGATTTGCGGTAGTAGCGGGGGGTCAGTCGGAATTGTGGAGGTAGCGGGGCTGCAGCGGTAAGTGTGGTGGTAGCAGGCACAGAGGTGGCGGTGATGCGCTGTCACGGTGGCTCAAGCTGCTGCGCTGGCACGGTGGCTGAGGCTGCTGCCCGAGCACGATACCTGCGTTGCTGCGCTGGCACCGTGGCTGGCGCTGGAAGAAACGATCTTCGAAATAGTTGCATTTATTCGGGACGTTGAACCTCGATCTTCCAAGACGAGGAGCAGCAGGGGGCCAACTGGAGCGGGCGCACTTAGCCCCTTGCAGAACACCGTGGGGCTTCAGGGGCCAACGTGGCCCAAGAGACCCGCGGTGCCAATGGCCTAGTTCCCTGGAGCGCTGGGCCCTTGTGGAGGCCACTGGGCTCGCTTCCTGTGAGTGATCCCTAAAATGGGCAGCGCGTCGCCCTGAGCCTTCCTACGTATGCTGTCGCCTTATTCCCGTGCGAGCACGGGGCCCTTGTTGAGGCCGCTTGGCCCCTGCTAGCAAGCCCTGTCTTAGTCTGCTGGGCTCAGAGCGCCAGAGCGTCCAGGCGCTCGGGCTCAGAGGCATCGCTGGGGCCTGCTCAGAGCGTCCAGGCGCTCGGGCTCAGAGGCATCGCTGGGGCCTGCGCAGAGCGTCCAGGTCCTCGGGCTCAGAGGCATCGCTGGGGCCTGCGCAGAGCGTCCAGGTCCTCGGGCTCAGAGGCATCGCTGGGGCCTGCGCGGGGCGTTCAGGCGCTCGGGTTCAGAGGCATCGCTGGGGCCTGCGCAGAGAGTTCAGGCGCTCGGGCTCCAGAGCGCCCACGTGCTCTGGATCATTGTTCAGAGCGTCCGCGCGCCCTGGAGCACTTTTGAGAGCGCCCACTTGCTCTGGAGCATTTTTCACAGCGCCCAATTGCTCTGGGGCATTTTTCAGAGCGCCCACTTGCTCTGGAGCACTTTGCGGAACGCCCAAACACGCACGGCCACTCTGAGCTGGTTGTAAAGTGGTCCGTTCTGGTTGTAAAGTGGCCCGTTCTGGTTGTAAAGTGGTCCGTTCTGGTTGTAAAGTGGGCCGTTCTGGTTGCAAAGTGGACGTTCTCGATGAAAAACCATACTTTCCAATCCTATGTTGGTTGTAAAGTAACCCATCTGGTTGTAAAGTGGTTGTTCTGGTTGTAAAGAGACCGAATCTCCCCCACCCCCGCCTTCTCCTCCCTCAACCTTCTTGCGGAGAGAAAGGCGACGATGGCCACATGGCCACAGCCGCTCGCGAGAGGCAACCACGGCCCTGGCAACCAAAGCTTGCCGCGAAGCGGCGCTCGATGCCTCCACCGCACCCCCTTTCCGCGCCTCCCTGGAGCCCCCCCGCTCCACTCCCCCTTCCTCCCGCGCCCCTCCCCTTCTCCGCTCGCCACTGCAGCCACACTCCATCAGTGCTGTTCTCCCCCTCCCCCCCGCGCCGCCATGATCGACAGTAACTACTTCTGTACTTCCTCGAGCTCGCCTTTTAGCCCACCCCATTTCAAAGCCGAGTCCTGGAGCAACCTCGGGCATCATCCCGGCGATGTGTCCAGAACAACGATCAACCATGGCCAGACGAAAACAAACTGCGCTAACATAAGCATTCGGATCTCTGGCATTCCGCGTATGTGTTCTATGCTTTCTTTTCCAAATGGCGGACGGATGGCCCCCCAACGAGCACGTTGTGAGGCGCTGGTCCCTATCGGCGATCAATGGGCGATCGGGGGTCGGGCGGGCGGAACGCGAGAGTTAAAGGATGAGGAGGCCGAACGAGGGAGCTAAGAAGAGGGAATGGTCCTGCCCACTCCTCCCGCCTCCTCCTCCTCCTCCTCCTCCTCCTCCTCTTCTTCTTTCTTCTTCTTCTTCTTCTTCTCCTCCTCCTCCTCCTCCTCCTCCTCCTCCTCCTCCTCCTCCTCCTCCTCCTCCTCCTCCCTCCTCCTCCTCCCCTCCTCCTCCTCCTCCTCTCCTCCTCCTCCTCCTCCTCCTCCTCCTCCTCCCCTCCTCCTCCTCCTCCTCCTCCTCCTCCTCCTCCTCCCTCCTCCTCCTCCTCCTCCTCCTCCTCCTCCTCCTCCTCCTTCCTCCTCCTCCTCCTCCCTCCTCCTCCTCCTCCTCCTCCTCCTCCTCCTCGCCCCAATGGACGATCGGGGGTCGATGCTCCCATATAATATATATATATATATGTGTATATATATATATATATATATATTCTTGGCGTTATAGCGGCCGACGGGACGATCTCCTGGCCCTTCCGTGGACGCTCTGACCTGGCGAGGCGAAGCCGCCAGGAGGCACCCCGAAGCTGCAGAAGCCTCAAGAGATCTGCTGTCTCGACTTCTTCGAGACGCGGGCCCCCGACCTCTCGACCACTTCCCCAAGACCCGGTCTTTCATCCCGAGTCGTTCCTTGGCGACCCCGAGGCCAGGCAAGGGCCCCCCCGACAGGCCGACAATGATGGAACCCTTCCGTCTCGATTCTCTCTCGAGACGCTGGATGTCTGGGGCCGCCGAGAGCCGACTAGAAAAGCGCAGACCTCGCACTGCGAAACTTCGCCTCCCCCCCCCGCCCAGGCTTGGCGGCGAGCGTGTGGGGGGGAAATAAAAAGGGCGGGCCTTCTCAGAAGGCTCGGAAGTCTCCCGGCCTTCTGAGAAGTTGCTGAGCCTTCCCCGAAGGCAGAACAAACAACTTCTCAGAAGGCGCGAGGGCTTCTGAGAAGTCCCGCCGCCTTCTGAGAAGGCCTTCCCCTTCTCGCTTCCCGCCCAGGCATCTTCCGAGGCCCCCGCCTCCGCGGCCGAAAGTCCTGCCCCGCCCGCCGTAGTCGCCCTCGTCCCCGCCAAAGCCGGGCCTCGCTGCACACGGAGGCGGCCGCGGCGGCGGCCACGATGGAGGGATCGGTCGCTCGATCGGTCGCTTCTCCTCCTCCTCCCCCTCCTCCTCCTCTCCCTCCTCCTCCCCCTCCTCCTCCCCCTCCTCCTCCCCCTCCTCCTCCATCTCCTCTTCCTCCTCCATCTCCTCTTCCTCCTCCTCTTCCTCCTCCTCCTCCTCGTCCATCCACCAAGCAACCATGCCGATGCTCTGGCAGGGCACCGCCCACGCGGCTCTCGGCCCGGCCCCCCGCGGCCCCCGCGGCGGGAGCGCTCTCGGACCCGCGGAGTCGGCCCGACGCCAGAGAGCCCGCACGAGTGGCTGCGGCTCCGAGGAGGAGACCCAGGTCTGAGAGGCGTCCCGGAACGGCCCGAAGAGGCCAACACCGTAGTTTGCCTATGGTCTTTTTGTTTACCTGAGATCGAACTCCGTGTATAACTACGTAAACTAAAAACCCGATAAACAAATTCACTGGCCGAATCATACGAATTCCCACTTAAAACGTATCATCCGGGACGAGATCTAGAACAGAGCCGGAATTCAACGCTGAATGCTTCAGCCAACGTTTGGCTCTAGACTAAAACTGGGGCCTGCGCCAAACAAAATTGTCGAACAATCTGGCGCGGCCAATGCTGGAGTCTAAGCTCCGTGAATGACCACGTAAACTTTAAATCCAAACCTTTTGTCCGCACAGTGCCCCACCAACACACGACCACATGAAGTGACAGCCGCGTGCCCCTGATCCACCGGAAGCCCGCCGAGGACGGTGAAGCAAAGGCGCCTAGCGCAAATGTGTGAGAGGTGGGCAAAAGAATTGGGAGCCTCAAGACCCGGGTGGAATGGGAACGAAGAGGCGGAGCACGGAGGGGCAGGCAGAGGAAGAGGAAGAGGAAACAGGCAATACAGAAAACGTGCTATGGTCTTTTGTATGTTTTTGGCTTCTCGCGTTTTTGAGCTTCCAATGGTCCAAGAGCGCCGAAGAGCCACACCCCCTCGCGCTGTGAACAAAATCACGACGGGAGGCTCTTCGCTCCGCTCGGTCTCCAGGGGCCCTCACTGGGCCCTGGGACCGGGAAGGGGTCCAGACTTTTGGGGGCCGACGCAACGGAACCATCACGACGCCGGGGGTCCAGGGACGAGGGAGGGCCCGATCGATCGTCGATCGATGGACGATCGGAGACTCGCGTTATGATGTTCCAACCTACTTTAGCCTTGATTAGCAGAACGACTTTCGAACACCAAGAAAATACCGAATCTTGAGGGTTTTCATGTGTCAGGCCCTGGGAGGCGATACTCGTTCGACACTGTTTCGACACTTTTCGGGGCGCTCGAAATCATTTCTGGGATGTGGTCCCCAAGTACGATGGGAACATCGGAAGACTCGCGATCGATCGATCGACCGACGATCGAGGGAGCGATGGATCGGTGGCGGCACCGGGAGGGCGGCGGCCGGCGCTGGGCGGCGAGGGGCGGGGAGGGGCGGGCAGCGGTGTGCGGACGGCGCCGCGGCGAGGCCCACGGGGGCCCACGAGAGTCGAGGCGGGCACGGCGAGGGCATTCGTTCAGGAATTCCTTATCTCGAGGGCAGAGAATCCACCCCGATAATAACCACCCCGACACGCGAAGCCGTTTCGTAGACACACCCCGCGAAGGAATCAAACAGGGCAGGGCTGCTTAGTAAACGCCCAGGGCCGTTTAGTAGACGCCAATTGTCCGGTCCGGGTGCTGTCTTTGCTCCCTTGATTATCTGATGAGGGCGGCGATGATATCCATGGCAAAGCCTCGCTGGGGCGACGATCAAAGACGGGCCTTGCGCGAAATGGCATAGCGACCTTACGCCGCAGCTCACGCAGGCCGCCAGCGCGGCACACTACAATGGAGAAGAAGACGCCTACGCGCGACCTCACGCGGGCAGCTTACGCGCCAATGTCGGCGCAGACGACGCCGTTTTGTTGTCGTCTCCCAATTGGCGTTCCCCTGGGCTCTCAGACCCTGGATTACTCATCGAAGGGCTCCTGATCCAATGCCCCCATGGTAGCAGGATGCAAGCCCTTTGGAAGCCACGACCGACATGTGTGACTCGAAGCCAATGCGATCTTCAGTTTCGGTCACACTGTCGGTCACACCACGCTTTCGGGCACAATTGTGGGCACATCTTCGGTCACATGTTACACGTCTTTCTCGCTTGTGGTGGCTGGGCGCCACAACACAACCGACCTTCAGCAGACGAGAACAACCGAGAAGCCCGACCTTCAAGAAACTAAGCATGCCCACATGCGACGTCTAAACATACAATAGTCAGCAGTTCGAAGTACGAGCTCTGAAGAAAACAAGTTGTGTATAACTAAGCAGCAGAGTACCGTCTTGCGCCGCAAGAACGACGGTGAAGGAGGGGGAGGAGGAGAAGGAGGAGGAGGAGGAGGAGGAGGACCCAAATCTCCTACGCTGTGTTGCTTTGTTCGCAACGGGACCCAAACATCTAGACCCCTTCCCCGAGACGTTTTTTTCATGCCTAGCCGTTTTCTGACGGTCCCGGCGGCTGGTGAGGGCACCCCATAGCCAAAATATTCCGTTACGAATTTTCTTTGTGTCACGACGCGAAGAGGTGGGGGGGCAGAAGGAGAAGGAGGAGGAGGAGAAGGAGGAAGGGGAGGATGAGGAAAGGAAGAGGAGGAGGAGAAGGACCTATGTAAACCCAAGACTCGCCAACGATATTGCAATCAACCTACCCTCCGAATTCCCTCGTCATAAGCCCCTACAAATATTCACTGCGATTGAGGGAAGTGTTCCGTTGGAAGACAGCCGTTTGAGAATCCGTAGCTGTGTTAGATCAATGGTTTGTGGATCCTAATGTCGCGAATTCCCTTGCGTCTTGACGATCCTGAATCGTGCCACGACGCAACTCCTAGGGTTGCAACACCGCGAATAAACGTGACTGTTGCGCCCTGACTTTCCGACATCGTACCAAAACATGATTTCTGGGACGTTAACCGCGTGTGTGTGTGTGTGTGTGTGTGTGTGTGTTGAACCGTCTACAAACTCGTGAAGCGAATGTGCGCGATGCTAAAGCGATAAGCAACTTTTGAAAAAGAACCGCACTCCACCGGTGAAACTCTTGCAACATTTAGCAACGAATGTGCTTCCTGCGAAGGCGAGAACTACATTTTGGAAACGGGCTGCCCTCCATCCGTGAAGCTCTTGCGAACGTTAAAATGAATGTGCGCAGCGCTACTGCGAGAGCCGAGTCCTGAAAACGACCCACCTTCCATACGTGAAGCCCAAGCATATTAAAACACGTGTGCGAAGCGCTACGGCGACAACCACATGTTGAAAACCACCCACCATTCATCCGTGAACCTGTTGCTAATTTTCAACTTTAGGATCGTAGATGGTGAGGGTGTGTCAAACGAAACGCCTGGCCCGTCCTTTCGACCGGCCTCGATGTGCGACAGGGAGGGGTTATTTCCAAGGCAGAGGGAGGACATGGGGAGGAGGAGAGGAGGGGGACGGGGAGGACGCGGAGGAGGACAGGGGAGGATGCGCACAGAGGAGCAGCAGGAGGCGGATGCGGAAGAGCGAGGAGGCGGTGAGGAGGAGGAAGAGCGAGGCGCGAGGAAACGGTGAGGAGCACGCTCGAGGGCCGGGCACGAAGGCACGCTGCGCCGCCCGGCCGCCTGCTGCCACCCGCCGCCGAGAAGCCGTCCGGCATCTGGACGAAGCCGCCTCCGGGTCCTTGCTGAGGTCGGGGTGCGTCCCGCCCCCGCGCGCGCCCCGAGAAGGCCCTAGGCAACGCCAGCGTCTCGAACAAACATTGGGACGGCGCTTTTCTGATATGCTCGGCCTCTCGGGGCCCTGCTGGTCCTCGGAACCGTCGAAGCGCGACTCGGAAGGAGCGAAGGTGCCCTGGGATACACACAAATAGATGTACACAGATCCCAAGATTTCCCTTCTTCTCCCGTACTTTCTGGAGCTTCGTCTTCCCGCCCACTCTCCATATCTTCCCATGTTTTCCGGGGAATCAGCGATTCTTTGCGTCTGTGTGCGTTTCCACCTCCCGAATGAAAGACCGATTCAGGGGAAGTGGTCGAGATGTCCGGGGCCCGTGCCTCGAACAGAAGCGAGACGTCGGATGCCTGGGGCCGCGTTTTGATGGGCCAGTTTTGCATCACCACGACCATAGGTAGGAGAGGGAGGAGGAGGAGGAGGAGGAGGAGGAGGAGGAGGAGGAGGAGGAGGAGGAGGAGGAAGAGGAGGAGCGTCGGATGCCTGAGGCCGCGTCTGGTCTTTGGGGGGCGAGCTCGAGTCCCCGACCCACACGGTCCCGCTGCTCCGCCCATCCGTGCCCCGTTCCACCTCTGGCGCCCCCCTTGAAGCAGCTGCTCGCAAGTGGCCTGGATCCATGGCGCCGAGGCAACAGGCTCCACTGCATCGAGCAACACTCGGTTTCATGACGCTTGCGAGTCGGCACTTTGCGAGGAGTGGAACGCGCTCGGTGACCCGTTGTCCCGTCCCCATCCCCACGACCCCGACCGTCCCCCTCTCCTGTGCCCCTCCCCCTCCCCTCCGCCGGTGGCGGCAATGGTGCTCGCGCCACCCAGCGCACCCGCTGTGTGCGCGAGGGCACACGGTACAGGCCTCGGAAGAAATCAGCGAACACTCATGCCGCAGTCATCTGTCAATGCCCCCACCCAAAGACCAATCTTGGCGGGGAGTTGAACGAGCTGCCCTTCGACCAAAGTCTTCTCCGCGCGAGCCAGCTTTGAGCTGCGGGGAGCGGGGGAGTGTCCACTACTTGTTTCCCTCTATCGTATGACTCCCATTCCGACGTTGGGGACGACCCCTCCCCCCCCTTCCCCTCCCCTCCCCGCTCTCCCGTCCTTTTCCATCGCGTCTCCGCCTCTGCTCACCTCCGTTACAACTACACACTGTGAACACTACTACTGTCCTCCCTGCCCTGACTCTGTTTGGGGGATACCTGGCCCTCTCCACGCATTTACAATTTCACACAAGACTCCAAGCATCGATTTCCCGCTTTTTACACTCATATTGTGTTGCTGTTTTAAAATGATGTTCCCCCTGCAGCGTGGGCCTCATTTTCGGATCGGCGCTTTCCTTCGTTGTTCAGAATTGCGCTCGCGCCCCGGCGCGGGCCATTCTCCTGGATCCAAGTCCTTCTTCCTCGTTGTCGCCCCCGTCATTTTCCCTGTTCCACCTTCCCCTGGTCCTCCTGCTCCTCTCCTTCATTCCGCTCCAATTCCTGCTGATGTTGTTCGTCCGCGTCCTTCATCATCTTCCGCCTTGCCCTATTGTTCATCCTCCTGCTCACCCGCCACCTCCTCTTCATGTGTACGCAGTTCCCATTTCCCGATTGCGCATGGCACGATGGGGGTCTTTCGGTTGAAGTGCCAGGTCGGCTGTGACATGCGTCCGCGGGAGAGGAAGCACCCGCACAATGGGAAGGAGCGAGAAGGAGGGACAGGATGTCGGACATGGCGCGAGCGCACCCAGCTTGCCCCTCTCCCCTCACCCCTCCCTAGAGAAGGGGCAAACTGCATGACTATACACTTTTGAAGGCACGCGCGGACTTCTTGGATCTGGGCTAGACGCCCCTCCCTGGCCCCAAACATCCCCTCGGAGCGTTGACAGTTTCTGCTTACGCCGTTGCGCTTTTTCGACTCGCCTGGCCCTCTCCCCGCCCCTCCCCGCTCCCCTCTCCCCACTCCATCCCGTTCCTCCTCTCGCCATCCCATCCCGTCTCCTCCACCTCCGCTCCCCCCGCTCCTCCGCCGCCGCCCCACCCAGGTCGCCACAGCACCTCGCCCTGCTCCCAGCGACAGGGCTTCGCGCTTCGCGCTTCCCTGCCTCCTCCCAGCGCGCATGCCTAGCTTCGCGCTTCGCGCCGTGCGAAGTGCGAATCACGTCGCGCTCTCGCGCCGCCACCCGGGGGAGAAGAGCAAGATGAGGAGGAATCGGAGCCGAATCGCGAAGCGCGAATAACTTCGCGCCCTCGAGGGCGCCCTTCTTCCAGAAACCTTGAATCCAACCCTGGGGTATACACGATGGGGGGGCGCCCATCCGTCGGAGTTTACCACCTCGATCCCGATCTCTCGATCCCTCGAAGGCGAGACCCCTCCTGGAACGCGCCATACAGTGCGGGTGCGGACGCAAGAACCCGTCGCAAGACGCCCGACCCTGAAAATCAGTCGCAACCAAAAAAGAAACCAAGGTACCCTTAATGCAGCAGTTCTGTAACGCCCGCGGGATGTCATCGATCAGCGCGCGCAGCGAAGAAACCCAAAGCACCCCGGCGAGAAACATATGGTTTCTTGATGTGCGCCCCCACTGTTTGACTCCACGTATACCTTTCCGCGGCCCGAATGCTTCAAGTCGGCACGACGGCCCTGCGCTGAGAAGCCCGCCCGATCGCGACGAGAGGTTCGGAGCCATCGGTGGG